GAAGTGACCTGAAGCCAAGAAAATCAGTTGTTCCTTCCCCCCTTACTGAGGTGTCAGCCACACCAGATTACCTTATATCCATCCCAAGTGAAAAGCAGGTTTGCAGGCAGTTGGCCTGGAACAGCTGACCCACAGAAGGTTGTTATCCTTCAGTTACATGTGTAACTAGTTACACATGCCTAGCCTTGATTTTCTCCTTGTGCTTGGGAATCTGGGACTGCCGAGATGACTGTGCTGCTGCAGCCTCTCCTATTTCTCAGTGCCCTCCAGCGGGGTGAGGCCCTGCAGCCAGGTTGTATTTCATGCCTTGTGCCTGCAGCAGAGCACAGATTTTCCATGCTTATCCCATCACGACCTCTCCATGTAATCAAGGGCTTTGATTATTCCCTAATTGTTAGCTCTGTAGGCTTTCTGCTCAGACTTTTCTGGCCCTTTAGCAGCAGCTGCTCCTTTTGTTCTTTTATTTTTCAGATTTGCTGTCCAGTATTGTTGTGTCTGCTCCTCTTGTGCTTCAGACTTCGTCCTCCAAAGTCACAGAGACCTTTGACAATTTGTCCTTTCTGCCCATTGACACAGTGCAGGGGCTCCTCCGAGCAGTACAGGTAAAGCTTTGCCTTTCTTCATGAATATACTTTCTAGTTTAGTTCCAGTGGCTGCAATTATAGGCATGGCCTAATAACCCTCCTTGTAAAGTAAACAGTCATCCTCTGCGGTCAGTTGTCCAGTGTAGCATGAAACTGTTCTTCAGGCATGGATTTGTATGTGCCCTCTAGCAAAAAGCTAACTGCTCTGTGCTGACTTTTCCTCTGGAAGATGCCTGGATGCTGCACGCTGTAGAAAACAAAGTATCTGGTGTTTGGCTGAACAGCTGTAGCTGTCACATTGATTCTTCTCCTTCCAAGCTCCATGTCAGTATTTCTCTTTGCCTGGGCTGCGATATTGCCCTGGCGTTAAACCCTTACCTGCTTCGTCCAGTCTGGGGATAACAGCTCTCTTTCCCAAACCCTTGCCCTGTGTCCTCACTAACCTGCTAAGGCTGCTACAGCTCTCTGGGTTTAGTTTTATATTGGTTTAGAATGTTTTGGTTCTCCTACTGTACTGGTGACAGTATTGGAAATGCAGGGCCAGATGGGCCTGAGGAAGATGAGCTCATACACCTGTGGTATGCTTGGCACGGCTTGGTGCTTTTCTCTCCAAAGTATGCCTTCTTTTCCAGCCTCTGCTCAAAGTCAGCATGTCAGTGAGGGACTCCCTAATACTTGTGCTCCAAAAAGCCATCTTTTCCAGGTAAGCTGGGAAGGGGATTCTGAGAAGATTTCTAAAACTCCATTTATGTTTTTGAAGCAGAAATTTTGTTTGTTTTGGCTGAGTGTCTCCTTACGATGCTCTTCCTGTAACTAGGTGGTGACATCTACCCCTTCCGCCTAGGACTGTAAGACCGTCACGTCTCTACCCACTGAGATGCAAATCCCCACCCCCAGATTAATGGGCTTTGGAAATTCAAAAAGCTGTTGGGAACTCCAAATAAGTAGGCATAATTAAAACCAACTCCAACATATGGCTACACAGCAGAGTACATCCAGATGCTAGGGAGGGCCTGGAAGGAACTGCTGACCAGAATGCTGAGCTGCCACCTTCCCTGTGATTCGTTACAAGGTGGTAGAGAAGCAGGCTTGTTGTCTTGGCAGTGCTCGAGCAAGCCGTCCTGCTGTCTTCACAATGCCGTGGTCGTAGACTGGATTCTGTTGGGCAGTGACCGCCTGGTTATGGACACAGAATTTGTAATTTAGCATCATTGTTCAAGGCAAGGGACTCGATCTTGGGAAAGATCTGGGGCTTTGGTGCGCACAGCAAGCCCGGCTTTCTGAGAGGGATTTTCCAGCTCTGAGAAGAGAAGGGGTCTGTGAGACGCTACCACAGTTTTCAGGGGATATCTAACGCTTGCATCTCGGCCCGGCTAATCCCTTGGTTTGAGCACTGTGAGGACAAGAAGGAAATTGAATGTTCTGAGACTGCAGAGCAAGGGAGTTCCCCACAAACTGCCAAGCTCTTCGCTTCTTGAGACTGTGCTGCCCTCTTGGGAAATACAGTTCCACCAGGCCCAGTCACTCTGAGTCTGTAGACCCTTTTCCATTGCTGACTTGATCTTATATTTACTTCTGAGCTTCTTCCTTTCATTTTTACTTATGCTTCATTTTTTTCTCCCCCTGACTCCTAGGCAACTTGATGCTCGTAAGGCTGCAGTTGCTGGCTTTTTGCTTCTGTTAAGAAATTTCAAGGTTCTGGGCAGTTTATCCTCTTCCCAGTGCAGCCAGGCCATCGGTGCCACTCAGGTGAGTGCTGTTCTGCAGTCTCTGGTGTGGGCATGAGACAGTCTCACACCTAATATGCATTGTTTGAAACAACTCAAGAGTAGAGTGTTTCCCCAGAATGGAAATTTAACTTCAGCAAGGACTAGTCCTGGAAGGAAAGCTTTGGAAAGTGGAATGTGCAAAGAGAAGCTGACGTGGGGATGCTGTTTCTCAGAGTCACTCTCACAGCACCAGTATTCTGGGGAGTATTCACACTGCTCCATGCTGCTGCTGAAGACCCTGGCAGCACACCAAGGACTATTTCAGGGATTGTTTAGTGGCCAGGCCCCTTACCACCTCACTTTTATGTTGTGGTATTTGACAATTGCAAGCAGTATAACCTGACTAATATTCCCTTACAGGTCCAGGCAGATGTTCATGCCTGCTATAATTCTGCAGCTAATGAGGCCTTCTGCCTTGAAATCCTGGGCAGTCTGAGGCGATGTTTGAGCCAGCAAGCTGATGTTCGACTCATGTTATACGAGGTAAACACGGTTTCTTCAGTCTCCTTTTAAAGAGCCACTAGCTCTTCTGTAGTCTGGTTCTACTGTAGCCCCAGGTAAATAATGGTCATGTTATTGTGTAAAACAACCGATCATCTCCGTTATGTTCTTCAGGGGACACATGGGCTATATTATTGGTTTGTGGTTTTTTTTTTTTTTCAATCCTTCTGCTTCTTTATTTTGGACCATTATAAGCCCAAAGACACGTTGATGTATCTTCCTCATCTCATGCATTGCTGAAGAGCAAAACCACATCCAAGTCTCTCTTCCTGTCGTGTGGCCTAGGAAGTGGCAGTGTGTTTGATGCCCAGTGAGGTGGAGTGTTGTAACAGGCACTGGACAGGTGCAGAGTTGCTGAGAGTTAATGATGGGCTCCGAAGAAAACCCTGACTGAAGACTAGGGGGACATTTCCTTAGTGACTGCATTAGGGATCTCTCTTTTCTCCCCTTCCTTTTGCCAGTTTCTGCAAAGGCTTGTCTGTCCCTTAGATGTCTTGTGACAAATTGTCTAATGTAAAGCTATTTTTGGGTGCATCTCTTAGCTCCTGGAGTAACCACAGGGTACTACCTTGAGGAACAAAAACCTGTTCAGGCCAGAAAGATTTTGTTTCCTTCTTGACTTGGTTCAGCCTGGAGAAGAGAAGGCTCCAGGGAGACCCCATAGCACCTTCCAGTACCTGAAGGGGCTACAAGGAAGCTGGGGGGGACTTTTTACAAGGGCCTGTAGTGACAGGACAAGGGGTAACGGGTTTAAACTGAAAGGGAGATTGAGATTGGACATCAGGAAGAAGTTCTTCCAGGAGAGGGTGGGGAGCACTGGCACAGGTTGCCCAGAGAAGCTGTAGATGCTCCACGGTGTCATATGTAGCTGACTTGTGCCAGGCTGGAGGAGGCTTGGAGCAGCCTGGTCTAGTGGAAGGTGTCCCTGCCCATGGCAGGGGGTGGGACTGTGGGACTGGATGGGCTTTCAGGTCCCTTCCCACCCAAACCATTCTGGGTTTCTATGATTGGTTGGACTGACCTTTGAGTTGCAAGTTTGGGGTGTGTTTGTCACTGTTGCTATAAGACTTGTGCTAGCTTTACCCATCCACTGAATTTTCTCAGTCTGAAGGATTTTGTGCCTCCTACGGTTTCCCTACTGGCTTGTTTTGCCTTTGAAGGAGGATTTCACAGTTTGAGGTTGGAACTAGTGCTAGTGTTAAACAGCAATGAAAGTCACTCTGGGCTTGGTGCCACCACTGCTAGGGAGATACAGCTTGTGGGAGGGCGCCTGGGAGGAAATTCATACTCTTTCTGATTCATACCTTCTTTCAGGGGTGCCTTTGCTTTGCCAGGTATAGGGTTCTTCACTGAGCATATTGTTACTTCCTCATGGTTCCTTGCAGTGCCAAAAGGTCATAGCTGTCTTATGACGCCAATTCAGTGTGCATGTGGTTCACTTTCTTTGCTGTGTGCCAACCTGTCCTCCCTTCCTATCCGCAGGGGTTTTATGATGTCCTTCGCAGGAACTCCCAGCTGGCCAGCTCCATAATGGAAATGCTCTTGTCCCAGGTAAACCCTGCTCTGTAGCCTGGCTGCAGGGGCTCTGTAAGAATTCCGCACTGCAACCAGTATAGCAAGCCATTCAGGGTAAATGTTGGGAAAATAGTTCTCCCTTACACTGGAAACGTGTTCAGGT